GCGATTAAAGCTTCAGATCTTTGCACCTCAACAGCTGTGTGTTGTCACTGAGATAAATATTTTAACTGGTCTGGCAATTCCCTAGCTGCCCTCAGTAAGTGGTTGAAGGAGTGGCTTTCATTTCCCCATTTATTAAAGTGAAATTCAAGTTCTGACAAAACAACCCTCCAGAAAAGACCTGTGAAGGAAAAACAGGGGTGGGAGTGGGGTTGGTTGTCTGCAGGGCTTTTCTCAACCAGGGCACCCTGTGCCCACAACCAGCTGCTCAGGTGCAAATCTCGCTGTGCCTTCAGTGGCAGCTAATGGGAGAGTTTTGGTTTGTCACCAATATTAGGAGAAAAATTCCTTTGGTGTTCCTGATGCTGTACAACTAAAGGCTGTTCATATGACTTGCCTTTCAAAATGGCTTTTTTTAATGTGGCAGACATCGTTAAATACTTTCCAGAGCAATCTCACAAAGGAAAGATGAACAAATCAGGCAAGATATTGGTATTTACATACGTTCATCATGATGATCCTTGACGTTGGGTTTGTTTGTTTTTAGCAGGGATTCTCTTTAAGTACAAATATTCTTTGATGATGCCATCTAAGTCACTTGGGGTTGGGGGATGCTGTGCACATGCTTTTTGAGTTTAGCAGCTAATATCTTTACTGACACTCTTTTGCTGGGGTTCTTCATGCATCTCCTTCCCTCATGTGGTGTTTTATTAGGAAACTGCTCACAGGGAATCTGCTCAGAACACAGGGCAGCTCCAAAGGTGGCAGCAATAACCCATCCCAGGCAGGACAATGCAATACGCTGTATTGTACAGCATCAGGAGGTAACAGATCGGCAGAGCACAGGAGATCTCCAGGCTTTCATCTGCATAATAAACTTCCTTGCCTGAATACAAAAGTAGGTCGTTGGTACAGACCAAGGCTCTTTCAAAGGAGCTGTTTGTTTCGTGGCTGCAATCTGCACTGCTGGGAGTTCACAGGGAGGAAAAAAAGCTGAATCAGGTCTTAAGTAGAATGGGCTCTGTTGAAGGATGTTGCAGTACAGCAGTGGGCAACTTTGGCATCACTGCTGGGAAGAAGGTCATCTACTAATTGCGTTTATCCCCCTATGACTAATTGAAGCAGATGACCAAAAAAAAACCTGTTTTCTTCTCTGCATTTAGTCAATAGTGCCTTACAATTTCAGTTCCTTTCGTGGGCATCTGCAGTAGTTTAAACACTGACACGTATTCTGTCACTTGTTAGGCAAAAAAAGGTCAGTAAAAGGAGCTTTTGTCACTAAACCAAATCTTCACTCTTTCCTGTGATTTCACAGAAGAAAACTAAATATTCCTGGCTTTGGCAGTTGGCTATCATTTCACAAGGTACTTCTCAGCAGTCCAGTTTTTTGGCTTTTTTTTTTTTTTTTTTCTTCCCTGATAAAATGAAGCCAGTTTTCCTTTCTGACCAGCATTCATAGAAAGGGAACCCAAAATCCCTGCTTCACCTGTGCTTCAGCTGGGATTCGGCAGCCAGGTGTGGAAAAAGGAGAGGTCAGATGAAACCAACACTGCCTTATTCTTTGAATACTGTAACCTAGAGCTGTCTCTCCCAGTTGTGGATGGGCATCCTACAGACCAGCATGAAGGCTTGATCTAAAAAACTGCTGCACAGCACAAAATCCTTATTTTTTTAAAGAGTTATTGCCATAACAGAGCCTTGAGTGACTCACGAGGATGACAAAAGGTGAAGAATAAAGCAGACCAGATACTCTGAAATTAAGATAATTCCCCCCCCTTGTTTACAGTACAAAAATTTTATTTTTTTTTGTTAGGATAATTTAAAGTTTAAAACGGAAGTAGACATATTCATTTTACAAACAAGATATTCTTCCATAAGTAGGACCATTAAAAACAGTAAACAAAACAAAAAAATGCTATCTTTACAAAAGCTCTGTGCATAGCAACTTCATACTGAGTGTAACTGACAAAGCAAAAAAAAAAAAACAAAAAAACAAACAAACCAAACCAAAAAAATCAACCAGCCAACCCCAAACAAACCCCAAAACTATACAGTAGGGAGAAACGAGGCCTTAATTTACAGAAGGAGAAATTGGTCTTTAAAAAACCATGCATATTGGAAGTGTGCAAAGAAATAGGGAGAGTAAGATGCTATACCAAGATAAATAATGAAATAAAATGTACTCTTTCAAAGTTATGATAGGATCCGTAATTACCTATCGCAACACTTTCATCTTTCTAGTGGCAAAAAGGAAAGTCATATGGGAATATTAAACAGCAATAACTAAAAGAGGACAGATTTGCTTATTACACTGGAAAAAATCCTTACATATATATCTCTTTTTACATTTCCTTTTCCTTTTTGCTGGGTGTTTTGCCACTGCCAATGTCCTCCATTTGCGCTCAAGGATTTTTTTGATTGTATTTATTTACACACCTTTTCTCTTTGTAAAGCTACTGATAACTTCTACGCTCGTTTCAATACAAGGATTTACATGCGTGAGCAAAATTTGTGTTGTAAATCATTCGTATGTTGACTTCTTTCGTTCTTTTGGCTCAAATCAAACCCCGTTAAATTATGTCTCAGGCAGCCAGACTTGGTTCTTGTCCCATAGAGAGCCCTGGAGGTGCCTTCCTGGGGAGGTTTTCTTTTTTACTGGGCTCACAGCTCCCCCAGTTGTGGGACTGAATGGGACTAATGAAAGTAACTGAGATGTGAAAGGAACGTGTTTGTTAAAAATGTGAGGAATCAAGGTAGCAAGGTGCTGCCTTTCAGCCTGTGTTCTAGAAGTTTGTATCTGGAGTGTTTCCTGGGCATGGAATTTTGAGTATCATTGGGATAAAATCAGAAAGTAGCCTGAAGAGAAAGGGAGACTGGGGAAAAAAATGCAATACTTCTATGCATTGGAGCTGCTGGAAAATTTTTTAGTACATCAGAGTGGGGGGAACAGAGATGGTCTATTGGAAACAAGTCTGGTAAGACTCATTCTTTTGTATTTCAGGAGTTCTTGGCTTCAATGCTGGTTGTGTTGCTGACCTCCAGTGGTTGCTCCTTCCTTGATGGCACGAAGGACATGCACAGAACCTGCAGTGTCAATGAACTTGCAACCACGATAAACGGTGAGTTATTTTCTTTCATCTTTTCTGGAATGAGACACTTTCTTAGTGTCCTGGCTGTAAGACTCTGACTAACTGCATCTGTGCTTCTTAAAAGCACATTATTCCCGGCAAATTTCTTTGTAAAGCTGCTTTAAATTGCTACTTTTTCTGATAAATTGGGCCACGAGTTTTAGAAGACAGTAACCTCTCTCTTCCCTTTCTAAAATATGACATGAGAAGCCCTCCTGAAATATCACAGCAGTCAGGAGCAGCACAGAGCTGCTTCCCAATAGGAGGATCACCATCAGGAACCATAGGAATAGCTCAATTCATTGTCTTTGCAGTCCACTGGCTTCCCTGCTGTGCTGCATTACTGTTTAGAAACACATCCTGCTAACATGTCTGTATACCAAATACATTTCTCAGAAGGTGAACTGTATGCTTCACCAAATTAAGCTTCGAGGAGGCCCCGTTTTTAGCAGTTTGAACCAGAAGTGCAGTCCCAAGAAGTCAGCTTCCCTGCACCAGGCTATTTACAGGAATGATTTTACACGTTTGCAGAATGCAGTCCTGTGCCAAAACCTGTCTGTAAGGTGGGAGCCTATGACAATCATACCACGCAACACCGAGCTTCAGGCACTGATCGCTGCAGCTGGCTCTGAACCACAGAGACCTTCTAATCTATTACTAATCCAAATTTGCTCCAAATGGCCTCAGCCATTGCTGTCCCAGCTGTCCAGTTCAGGATGGACTCAAGATGGAGAACATCATCTACCATAAATTGTTGAATCACAAGAATACTATTTAACGTATTGGTAAAAATACTGGGCATTGGACAAGTAGTTTTAGGGACCATATATTAAGGATTTATTTATCAGCAGAAAGATACTATCATAGGAACAACTATTCATGCAGCTGTGAATGGTGTTTTAGTAGGGAGTAAATAGTGTAGCTGACTTTTATTTTCCTCAAAAAAATGGCTTTCCAACAAAATCAATTTCTTTTTAGTGGTCTCTGCTTTATCAGATAAGTTGTGATTGCTTTCCTTACATTCTCACCTTCCAACTTCAGGAAGGGAGAAGCAAAGGAGAACTAAATGTCAGTTTTAGGCCAAAACGCAGAAAAAAATCACACTGGATGCTTCTACAAACTTCAGTGTATAAATGGAAAATACTTACCGCTTGGAATGACTCGAGATAAAAGTGCGTAAGTTATTCAAAAACGTATCTTCCCTTTACAAATGCGCCCTTAACACGAAGTATGACTGAATGCAAGGTGTTCCAACTGCACAGAAGAACAATGTTTGAGAGAGCTCTTTCTCTCCCCAGTTCATACACCGAGTGTATAAAGTAAACTCAGTACCTCATGAAGACTCCAAATGGTTCAAATCCCTACGTGTGCCACTCATTTGCCAATGGGGTCGTTGAAACTTACCAGTTCATCTTAGTACCTGAATGCCTTAATTGAAACAAAACACAGCAGGGGGGGAAGAGGAGGAGGATGAAAATTTGTACATGAATCAGTGTTCTGTATATCATCATGTGTTTATCAGTTTCTGATGATTTTGTTAATTGATCAGAAAGAATCCTATGATATCCTTGCACATGGATTCACTAAGAGGGAAGAAGTGAGGAGCGACCGCAGCAGTAATAATATATCTTGAACTTGTCACTACATTTTTGCATCATTTTTCTTCATTGTACAACTGGAGGAAAAAATCCAAAAAAGGTTTAATTTCTACCTCTACATACAATAAGTTACAAGTTTATTTATTTAAATAATTGTAAAACATCTTACATTTTTAAAGAGGTTAAACTATAAGCAAATACACACATACACCAAAGTTCCATCACTCGTGTCAGTTTGTCCTAGAAATTCTTTCATGCTGGTACCCTGTTTTGTTGATTTTTTTTTTTTTTTTTAATTATTTTTTTTATTTTTTCCCTGCATAAACTAAATTGATATCTGAAAGGCTCCATATAAAATAGAAACTTCAACTTTTTTCCCCTACAAAGTAAAACAAATTGTATCCAAAATATCAAGCTTGAATCATTTTTGCCAATTTCTTTTTCCTTTTAATATTTTACAAATCTTAGGAAGGTTTCGTGTCTTTCAAGACTTTGCATTTCTGATCCCATTCTGCCAACTGTTGTTTGTCCTCTGGCTCATGGCTGATTCTTCGTTCGCAGTGTTCTAGGAGTTGACGTGGTTGTGTCAGAAATATCAAACAGGTAAAAGATGCAGCCTTCTGTCTTGTCCAATCCATAAAAAATGTTCCTTTTATTTCCTGGGCCTGGCTTTCCCCCCAAAAAGAGCTTGTAGTGCTATTTATTTTTTTTTTCTTTTTAGTGGTCCATCACAATAAGTAGTTTTGTGCTGTAAAAGAAAAATGAAAAAAAAAGAGGAAAAAAGGGAAGAGGGAGAGGAGCAAAGCTGCCTCTTCCTTACATCGGGGGAACGACAAGACCAGTCATGGCTGAAAAAGAAAATTGACAAAGATGAAATGCTGGCATATTTTTATGGAGAAAAGTTTATTTGAGCCCTTCACCCTTCTGTGTGCAGTCACAGAATTGCAGCAGTGCATCTATTTGCAGGTTAAATGATGGTATTAAAAGACCTTCAGTGTCTCGGAATGTTTTTATGCTTGATTTGTGCTTTAGTGAGAAGAGCCAACAGTGCAAGCCTGACAGCAGCCACAGAAAATGAACAACATGCCACTTCATTGTGGGTTCCACAGGGCCAGGCCCATCGTGGCTTTTAAGTCAATAAAGGAGAGAACTTAATCTATTGAAGCTAATTGAAGCTCTAGTGCGTGAACTTTCAGAAATGCCTAATAATTTTTGGTGCACATGTCCTAAGACTTCTTGCAAATGGACACTGAAATTTTTGGGACAGTTCCTAGCAGATTTCTCATGCTTTCTCAAGTTGAGCACTCAAAATCATTCTTGAACTGTCAGGACCAAGCGGGGTCCTTGTTTCTCACTCAACCTGCTAATTTGCTTGCAAGAAAAGGTAATGGTGTGAGTGAGGAAGGATAATGTGAAAGCAAACGTGAATTTACCCAGGAACCACTTATGGGACCTCGCCATAGAACTGTGAGTGCTGATTCATTGGAGAATGACCAGAGCTGAGCTTTACTAATTCAGTTTCAGTGGAAATAATGGACCAGCCTCTCTTTCTCGCTTGGTTTACCCCATATGTCTGAATCACTGTAGTCTTACCTGGCACGTTCCCAGAACACCGGGCTTATGTAAATTATTTATTAGTCACTCTCACTGCCTTTAATTGCAGTTATATTCTTCATAACTGACAACGGCAACATTTGAAGCTGCCTGGAACTGGTGCTGTTCCCAAAGGTTTTGAGGGGTAAGTTAAGTTTATATGTATTTATATAACAAATGAGTGAGTCATATTTTCAAAGGGGCCTCAGCGTAGTGCAAGGTCCTAATCCTGTGAAGATTTACGTTCATTGAAATTTGTGGGATTATTCATGTGTTTAAAGCCCTGTCCTCCGAGAATTAATTTCACCCTTATGTTCACAGTGTTTAAAAAAAAATGCTCAGGGCAAGATCCTCAGCTAACATGACTCTTTTATTGGAGCTCTGTTGATTTTAAACAACTGTGGACATGGTCTGTGATTTAATACAATAGGAAAACAAATATTTTCATATTTTCTATGTGACTAGGGCTAAAATTTCCTGCCAATTTTGACAGCTGAAAAAGAAAGTGAAACTGAACAATCCTGAGTCAAGTATCTGCTGTTCTTAATGGCATTTGTTAGTGTGTTTCAAATGGAGATCTTTTTCAAACAGGCAATTGATATAACCCTAAATGAGGAAGGTAAATATTTGCATGCCTACTGAGGGTCAAGGGGGAAAAGAGTGCATCTGAAGAAAAGAGGCCTTCTGGTCACGTGAGGGGCTGCTCCTCTCTTCTTCCTGACTCCCCCAAACTGGAAAATGACTTTAATTTCCTGGAGGGCTGGGACACTGAAGAGTTACCCACTGACCTGCCTTTCTACCCTCCAGAAAACTGGATTTAATCCTTGGGTTGACGCCTTTGCCTGGATTCTGCAGTGCTGGGGGAAGAGGCACGCGCTCCCTCGGCTGCTCACCGCCATCCACAGGTTTCCCGGCGGAGCAATCTATGTGAGCACTTCCTAATCTGCTTCAGGCAAAATCATCCAAGTTAGCTCAAAGAATTTAAGTTGTTTGTCTGAAGTATCCTGGCTGGGTCTTTTGCCTGAAGCAAAGAAAGCAAGGCTTCCACAGACTGCGCCTGGCCAGTCCTCTGTTTGGATGACTCTGCAGAGAAGCAGCAGTCCCTGTTACAGCTAACATGGTTTAATTTGAGACATCCATAGTCTGCTGTCAGTGTGGTTTAAACTCTGTTCCTAAGGGGGAGAGGCCACACTGGCGTAGGAGCCACTTCTGATACTACTCTTATCAATGTTATTGTCCTTCTTTTAATCAAGTTAAATTTCCAGCAGATCAAAACAAGGATTAAATCTGAGTTTCTTCCAGGAGCCTTCAAAAATATTTTAGCAATGCTTGCAGAGGTAGCATTTTGTAAAGCCCCTTACAGTGAGGGAGGAGCACATTTTCACGGCGTAATTAAAGAGATGACGTTTAGGTCCAGCAGTCCTGGACTCAGACTGCTGCCAGCAACAACAGAATTGCCATCTGCAACCCACTGTGTTATTACCTCTGGGGCTCTGATCTCTCTTTTGCCACCTTTTCCCCTGAGCAAGTCTCTCTATCCTCTCCTTTCGCCCCCCTCAGAAAGTTTGTTTGTCATTGCAGGCTGTAAATGCTCCGGAGTGGCGAGAAGCCCTTGGAAGCTGTTAGGATGGAATCTGCCCGTGGAGAAATCGAGGTGGAACTGTAAGATAATAAGGACAGGCAATGAGCTTTATTGCTGCCCTGGTGTTTCATCTGAATGTTGCAGCTTCACCTCTTTCTGCAACAAAAAAGGAGGTTGAGGACTGTTGTTTGGGATTCTCACCTGTTCTTCCCCAGCTCACACTAATGCCTTTGCTCTGTGGTTCTCTCTTTCTGCCTACCCTTATCTGTCCATTTCCACCCCACCTCCACTCCCCTTTGGGGCTGCACTGTCAAAAGCCTATTCCCAGCCTGTATCGCTTTTTATTGAATGTTTGTGAGGTTTGGATTAAGGTCTTACACTGCTAGCAAAGCTGTAATTATTTTTGCCTGTATTACTATATATTGAATCGATGTAACTTTTCAATAAAGGTGGTTCAATGCAGGACACTCCCTGATGAGTTGGGAATATAGAAACCACAGTCATTATCCCAGAGGGTGGGTTTTTTTTTTTTTTTCTTGGAGGGAAATGGAAAAAGAATTAGAGATGAGCCTTATTGTATTAACCTTGACAGCTTGCAATTATCAACTGAAACACTTGATTAAAATTGTCACAAGGTTGGACAATTTTTTTATAAATAAATAATCAAACACGGATAGTACCCAGATGCTATGGTGATAGGCACCTTTAATGGCTGTAATTAATAATGATCATAAGCCTAGTGTACACGAGTGGCTCCTGGAAATGCCATCTTGCTCTGCAGTGCAAAGAACTCTGCAGTTCACACAATCATTTGGTAAGAACTGGGGATGGGCTCTGCACTGCTTATGCATTCTATAGCTAGCATAGGTGCTTTGGTGGCTAAATTATGACTTGTTTTACAAACCCCACTTTCTAAAGAAGGGTGTTGAGCATTTTCAGCCACTGTGTCTTCCTCTCTCCTTTGGTTGTATGACTCTTTGTTTTCCTCTTTTGCCACAGTTTCCAGTGAACTGCAATCTTACAGTTCTACAGCTCTCCACAGAAGTGAACAATGTGCTGCAGTGATGCAATTTGAGCATCTTAAATGAATGCTGCTATCCTGCAAGGTCAGAAATACCTCTGTGCATGAGATGTTCTGCACACGAAGAGGTAGGTTTGTAATTGCAAAAGCCACCAAGCTGTTGGTACCAGATGCAGCTGGTAAGTGCAAGCTTTACCCTATTGCTATCTTTGCTTCCCATCGTGGCTACCACTAGAAAATGCATAGTTTCACTTTTAATATTAAGACTGGGGAACTGTTTGAAAAACAATGCACTGTTTTACAAATGAGCAATCAGCTCGGTGTTTTCCTCCAGAAATCCTACCTGTACATTGTGACATATAATGAGCTCCTATAATTAACATCCCATCAAGTGAAGGATAAGCAAATAATAGGATTTTTGTTTAGCTAACTTCTAAGAAGAAGTTTGAAATATCTTTTACGACTTTCTTTATTTTGAAACAGTTTGTGCCCCATACGTCTCTGCCAATAAACTGCAGAGAAAAATGTACTTCATCCTTATACATCAAATTTAATCAAATGACACATATATAGTTTTCTTACATATTGACATCATGAATATATCATTTACGCTCTGTAAGGTACTTAAAGCACTGTCTAGGCTCTGGAGTCACTCTGACTTGGCAGAGTATCACTGGAGGTTCCCAGCAAGGAAATGCCCACTTTTATTTTCACCTGGTTATGGCTGTTAAGGGTTGGTTTGAAGTGCTGTGTTGTAAGTGCTGACTGGAGCTAAGATTCCAGCTGGCAGGTCAGGCACTGCACTGGTAGCAATCAGGAACAGTGTTTTGGAAATGTGAGCCAGTCGTTCCACCTGAATCCCACCCTCTACAAACTTCTGAGCAACTGTTCTCTCATGACCTGTTTGTACAAATGTTCAGTGCAAGAGTCCCTCGTGTTAACACCTCTGACTTTGTCAAGACAAGATACGAATAATTACAGCCTTCAACTCAAATACCTCTATTTCCTTAGGAAATAGTACAGATGTCCCCCTTGCTAAATTGAGACTGTTCCTATGGGTATCAGACTTCAATACTTTTTGGGTTGGCTAGGATCCTGATGGTTAATGGAACATCTGACCTTCTGGGGCTTGCCTGCTATTCCTTGTAACTGAGCTTGCATTTTCATGTTGAGATGTGCTGAGCTGGCCAAAGGTAATCTGGGCAGTCAGCGGTCCATGCTGTTCCAGCAGTTTCCAATTTGCTTACTTTTCCCCATCAGCTGTCCTCCATCTGAGATGAGTTGATTAGGCATTTGTGTACTAATCATGCCGTGTTGCATCATGTCACATTATATCTTCCCAATGCCTTCTTTAAACTCCCTTGACATCTGACGTGAATGGAGAATACAATTGTTCTGATCAGGATCACCTGCTCTCAATTTGGGTAACATATAGAACTGAGTGGCATCCAGTATGGATTGCTGCTTGTTCTCTACCTGTCGTGTCCTATAACAGTGTAGGAATGTATAGCAGATGGCAGGTGGAAGAGGTAAGCAAGAACACGTGGCACAGGATGGGGTTATCAGAGGGCATTCCACAGGTCTTAGCTGAGTTGTGCAGCCCCAAGCTGAAAGCCAGCAGATAGGCACATCTCGTGCTTAGCTCATAGTTTTGATTCACAGTGTGTTTTCCTGTTATTTCCAGCACAAGATTGTCCCTCAAAAAAACATCTTTGCATCTCTTAAATGGCCAGGAATAATGAGAGTGCTAATCTGAGGATTAAGCTCATAAGGCTTCTGTTTAGACTAGTTTTTATCCAGGCTTAAACACTGCTGTAGTTAACGTACACAGAAGCTACATTCAAGACTTCTGTTGCTGCTTGTAAGCAGAGTGGCCCTGGGGGCCAGGTAGTATTTTTGATGCTATCACTGCAACAGGATGTGATAAGTAGGATGGAGGCTGTATCACTAGGAGACTTTTTGCCTTTCAACAATAGATGCAGGCAAAGTACAACACTGGAGATGTTACAACAGAGCTTAAAAAAATCCCAGCTGGAAAGATGCTTTTGCTGTATTATGGGTAGGGAAACTGGGAGGTGATGTCAAAACCACTGCATGATGTGCTTTCAGTTGGAGCCTGAATATACTTACAGCTTGTTCTGTGCTTTTGCTGATGCCCATGTTAAACTAAAATTTATATATATATATATATATTAACAGCATGCCTGTTCTTAGCTTATATATTACATGGCAATGGCACAGCAAAAGGAGATTAACAGTGTCCCATTACTGCAGCACAGTAAGTCTATTCAGGAGGCCTGTTTGGGACCCTCCTGTTGACTTTCTGGCCACATCTGTCTGTCAACACTGTGGGAATATTAATTTGGATATCAGGCTGTGTGTAGCTGGACCCTATCCAAATCATGCGCTCCTCAGCATCAATTTAAGCAGTTCAGTTGGAAAAAAAATTTTCCATCTCTGGCTGAAATAGTTAAATAGCTACGAAAACCTGACATAGCGAACCTGGGGCAGAGTGGTCTGTGAATCAGCTGCTGTCTTTGCTGCGAGTCACAGCTGTGGTTTGCTGCTGCAGTCTGACTGACAAATCTCACTGTGCAGGTCCTGTATCTGCTGAAGTCACTTGTGGCTTTATTACTGCTGTTATGTATTGCAGTGCTGAAGTACAAGATTTCCCACAGTGAAGGAGACACAGTGGACTTCTATCGGTGAAAAATGCAAAGATGTGAGTGCTGGGTTTTTAGTTCTAAGATTTTATGTTCTATTGAAGTTCCATTACTAGAATCTCTTATTTCCAATTAATAGATTGAATAAAACACATCGTAAACACTAAATGGCATTAATAGCACAAAATGAGCTCTGTTACTTCACTTGTTTACAAAAGGGATTAAAGAAAAATTAAAAAAAAAACTCTTGCTAAGCTGCATCTGAAGCAGATGGGACGGACACAGTAAGTCAAGGGGCAGTGTTAACTAAAGTTCATAACTAGTCGGTGTGGTTTTTGTTACCCAGTCTTTTCCTTTCTCCCAGGAAGTGTCTTGACAATGATTTTTCCCTAAACTGATCTGCAGTTAGCTCTGCCTTTGGTAACTTCTTAAAATAAACCTTCTAGCCTGGTGGGTACACAAGTTTGAATTTAAATCCAATTTAAATCTACTCTGAACACAAAGCTGCTGTTGAGTGATTTCTCTTTAGATTACGTCCGACTGCTTCAAGCTATAGAACCAAACTACTCCTGAGCTTGATAGGCCTTCCTAGTTTGATGTTCAAACCTGTTTACAATCACGTGGCCTTGGAACAGTTTCCCAAAACAGCTAAAATCTCACCATGGGTTTATACATATTAAAATACAGTGAAATCAGTATGGTCCAACATTAGCTGATAGAACTCAAAAAAAAAAAAAAAAAAAACAACACAAAGGTAACTGCAGACCAGGTAGTGATGATAACTCTTCAGAGTCCATGATCATACCCGACACAAAGATAAATTTGCCTGTAAACAGTTTAGATAAATAGCCCCAGCTGTTGGGTCAACAAAGCTTTCTTTACGTACAAATCTGTGCACAAAAATTGCTTCAAATACTCCTTCCCTTCTCCTTTAAACAGAGTAGGAAAGAAATTGTGTTCCCTGTCAACATGTTGCCTGTGCATTTACATGGATGGGGCAATGTGTTTCTTTAATGGGGAGGAGATGATCTTAAAGAGGCATGAAGTTTCAGGTAATTGCAGCAGGGGAAGAAGCTGTTTCACATATATAGCAGAATTCTGCATGCTAGCTTTTAAAAATGTAATTATTTTTGTTCAACACACCTAAAATTTCCTTATTATATAAAATAATCACAACTTATGTAGGTCCCTGTGGCCTGGCTAAGGATTTATAATGCACCCAAATCAACAGGTGCGGTTTGTAGGACTCATTTTTAGAATTACCACAGGCTCTTGGCATGGCTGAGTTCCCAGATTTGTTCTTTTTCTATGATATCTCTAGTGGAGTCTGAAGGAGCCAGATGACTTCTAAGGCCCTATAAAAGCTTTCTTTTATGGAGACTTGGAGTGTATTTACGTGCTGCACAACCCCCCCTCCCCTCCCACAGCCTATTAAAGCAAAGAATTTAATACAGGTTTCCATTCTTATCTTAATACTCACATTTGTTTTGCAGATCACCTTTAAAAAGGCTGTAAATGTACTATAGGGCTTAATTCCCTGCATGAGCCTAAACCTTGCAGCAGGTTTCAAGACATTGGCCATTGTGTGCAGAGCTGTCTATTAACTCTGCAGGGCAGACATTTGTTTTACTAGTCCCTGCAGCTTAAGGAGAAGCCATTCCTCGCAAAAGAGCTGGTATTTAAAAGAAGCATGGGTGAAATCCTTGTTGGTATAAATGAGTATCTGTCCCTCATTGCTTTAACGTGAAAAAGACAAAACATGGAGCAATGCTTTAATCCAGCTGAGTTGGGTCAGACTTTCACTATAGAGTCCTCTAATGGTGTAATGGTCTTTCAGGTGGTTATTGTATTGGCTACAGGTGAACACAGTGTGCTTGGTATATGCCAGCTGAATGTGAATTGTGCATTTCTTACCTCTAAACCCATTTCCATTGCCACTGGAGCAGGCAGGAGAAGGAGACCCTTGGGGTCTGATGACGGGAGCAAAGGCACTCTTCTGTTTGACAGCAGGAAAGACGGAAGAGGAGAATGGAAGGATGGAAGAAGTGCTGGAGGAGCCAACTGTTGGACTTGAAGACATTACTGTAAGAGAAGAAAAAGTTATTCCTCATCAGAGATGCAGTAAGACATGTTTCGTGTTGCTTTATATGTCTGTCCTGTTGGCTTGGCTGAGGTAAGTCTAAAGTAGAAGGGTAGTCAGTTATATTGAACAGCTAGGTCAAAGAAAATATGTCTAATTAGCCCAAACTGTAAGAAGAATTAACCAATATTTCTTGTGTTTTCAAATGAATCCCCAAATCTCCTTTAAGTATTAGTTAGAAAGAATAACAATATGCTGCAGACTTGGTCCTTTCCTCAATGAAGTCCTACAGAGGGAAATCAAGTCATGGAAGGAAGAGTGACTTGCCTGTGGTCACCCTCGTAACTGGAAGTGCAATAATACTTACTTCATCAAAGTGAAAATAATTCAGAGTTCAGCTCTGTTATTGCTAATGTAGTACAAAAGTCATTTCAGAATGTCTTTTACTAAGGATATTCAATTCACAGGCAGGGTTCAGTATTCCTCTGTTATTCTTGAAAGAGGGGAATGTTTGTAGATATACTAGAACACAAATTCTAAGCCTCTTACAGAATTTTCACTGAATCTCAAGAACTTTTCTTGGAAAATGTTGCTCTGTTACTTGATGCAGTAAATGAAATTAAGCAGGGCCAGGCACAAACCTAGAAGCAAAGCACTTACTTCCATAAGGGGATCCTGTTGGAGAGCCGTTAATGAAACCGGGGGAGCCTGGAACACCCAGGTTTGACATGGGGACGTTGCTGTAGCCGTTCATGCTGTTGCTGGAAGTGCTGTAATTGGACTGTTGAGGTGTGGAACTGGATGAGTAACCGCGGGGTGAGATGCTGCTTGTGTTACGAATGTAACCTATAAATAAAACATATTTCATGGAATGCCAAGGAATTTAGCTTAAAACTTTCTCTTTAATAAAAAAAAACAAAACAACCCTGGCTCACAGTTAAATTATTAATTTAAATCCAGCTTAAATGAAACAGCCAAGTAAGTGTAATTAAACTGTGCTCTTTCCCCCCTCAAAGTAAGTAAATAAAAGCCATTTGTTGCCTTTCATGTTTGGTTGCAAAACGTTTGTGGTATTTTTCTTAGCCTTCTTTTCCTCCAGAAAGAGATTTGAAGAATACTACAACTATCATCATTAAAGTACCAGTCTATTGTTACAGCTGTAAAAGGGTTTTTCCACTGAAAAGACTTCATTAGAAGGGTGTGATCCAATACTCTCAACTACACCTACTACAACAGGTCACACAGATAGGCATCCAGATGGGTCTTCAGTACCTCCATCGAAGGAGGCTCGAGTTGAGACACTACTGTTGAAATAACTGAGATTCAATTTCTCACTGTGTGAATTAACACTGTACCGCTTGCACTGCTCACCTTGGTTGTTTCCCTGTGTTGACTCTGAGATGCTGACCCCCAGCTGGCTGCCGTAGGAGTTAATGCCCATCATGCTGCTGTGCGCCGGGGAGCTCGACAGCGCAGGGATCTGCGCGGGATTCCGCGGTACGCTGTAGAGAGCTTCTGCGATGTCTGCAGCTCGTTTCAGAATGATGTCCTGCAGAACGAAGGGCACAACTTCAGCAAAGTGCTGGCAGAAAAGTGCTGGAGTTTGTTACAAAAATCTCAAGGCATCCCACTACCCTGCCCAGAGTCGTTACTCTGACCTGGTTGTTATGCGGCGTTCCGTACAGTGCTTCAACTAGGTCAGCAGCTCGTTTCAACAGCATTTCCTACGGAAGGACCAGATAGAGAGACACGTAAAGCAGCTGGAAAGGACAGGAGTCCCGTGCAGGGGAAGCGGCGCGGTGCGGGCGCTGGACGGCAGCGGGCGGCGGCTGAGCGGCGCGCCGGGCCCGGAGCTCTCCAGCGTCCTGAAGGCGGTCGGCCATCTCCGATTTCCAACAGCAACTCGGCTCCCTGCTGGATTTCAGTACATCTTTTTGCATAGATACATCAGGCAAGAACGCAGAACCCGATCGCCTATCATCACGCAGCGATAGGTAGTAACAGTTAGTCTTCTACTGCACTGAAATACAGGAGTAAAGTCATTCATGAGGCTCTCGTAGCGCGAGGCACTGCATCAACAAGCTGTAATATTACAGACACAGTGCTTTCAACACGTACATGCTGCGGTTGTGGCTGCAGAAAGCTGACTTTCAAGTCATCTTTAATGAAAGATTCAGATTAGACCTCTACAGCAATTCCTTTATGCTTATCATATTTAGGTTCAGAGATTTGCCAGCATGGATAAAGACAAACAGAGTATCACAGAATTGTAGGGGTTGGAAGGGACCTCCAGAGATCGTTGAGTCCAACCCCCCTGCCAAAGCAGGTTCCCTACACCAGGTCACACAAGTAGGCATCCAGGCAGGTCTTGAACATCTCCAGAGAAGGAGACTCCACCACCTCCCTGGGCAGCCTGTTCCAGTGAATATATCCATATGAATATGAATTGCGAAGATATCTGCAGTCAACACACATTTTAGCAGTAAACGAGTTCATAGACAGTGCTTGAGTTCTAACAGGTAAAACTTACTGGTAGCTATAGAGCCAACATGATCAAATTGTTGTTTGGACCTACAACCAATTAGTGAACTTTTACTTATGTTCAGATATAACTGTCAGTTAAGGTACAATTTTCCATCTTCTTTATGAGTTATTTAAAAGTGAAAGAAAATACTTACTGGGTTTGGTTGGAATACTTAAAAATGTTTTTACCTTAGCTAATCTTTCAGGGTCCCCAGGATGTCTTGGGATGACTTTTTGCAGTCTTTGGAAACCGTAATCTATAGTAGGTTCATTTAAAGCTGAAAGGAAAACAGAAGATAATGTATTACATGATTATGTGTCTCAGGCAATACCAAACTTAAAGTCTTGCAAAGAAAGATGAGTTTCACAGCTTCTCCACTGCCACAATATCTAGCAAGTTATGGAAAAAAAAAACAAAAAAACAAAAAAAAAAAACAAAACAAAACAAAAAAAAAAACCTCAAAAATTCACATACGGTATTGATTATACAGTCAGAAATCAACAGTACCATATTTGGTCATCTAATAAACACATCACCCACCCTGCATACATTCTGCTATCACAAACTAGGGTGCAGCTATTCATTAGACACATTAAATTCTTTAATTGTATGTGGCTTTTATGCATACGTAACCACTTCACTGTAACGATGTTAATTTCCAGTGGCAAACCAAAAGATCCTTAGTACAAGCTGGTGGAGCCCTGATAGAATCGTTGATAATTTCATAAAACTTCAGACATGCTGATAATCTCTACTTTGACAATAATAATGTAGTTTCTGATTATTCAAAATTAAAATCTGTTTGAAATTAATATAGAAACCAACATCAGCTCTTCAGAATTCTGCACACTGGTAGGATCTGCCTCTAATATGTTAGGATTATTAGTGTTTAGTAATATATATATATAGATAGATAGAATTTCATTATACTTCAGAATGAGCATTGTAATGTAAATGACACATTCATGCAATCACATGCAAAGAATCTTGCTTAGAATTCCATGAACCATTTAACAAGTGATGCACATAACCCCTGTAGCAATATCCTCATTCAGTGCCGGCTTCTTTCACCTTTTGGTACAATTTCTCCTTCTTCCACAACTTTATTTATTTATCTATTTTTTAAAGAACTGGTGACATCAGCACAGCTGAAAAAATACCTGATTCCAAGAAATGCAGGTGGCATTTACTGACTCCTCTGAAATATTCTCAGCATCTTTCAGGATAACCGTTTCAAACACCGGGAGAATTAAACTATCAAGTGAGACAGACTATTATACGGATCCAAATTCTCTGTTTATCTGTTTCTATCTTTGGTATAACAACATGAAGGTAAAAGGTCATATTCCCCACCGAGATACATTTTATATTTACTTTTTATTAAATAATTATGGCATGGCATGAAGTTTAAATATTACAGGAGATAATCAAGTGGGAATTGTGAAGAGAAAACCCAGACCAGAGAATTTAGTCTTGGCTATACTTAGAATGTCTTTGCTCTCCACTGGGAGCCATTCTGGTTTGCTTAAGGAGTTTAATAATACACATTTCAACTGCCACAGAATCTACATCCCATTTGGGAAGAGGTTTTTTTGAGGGGGTGGGTTGTTTTTGTTGTTTTTTTTTTTTTGCCAATAATCCTGAGAATTATAGGCCAATTCTCTCACGAGCCTATACATCACTGTGTGCCATTTCTCTTCTTGATTACAAGTCTAATGAGTTATGTTGCATTTTTTAGATATAAGCAAGAGCAATGTAAAATATACAAGAAATATAACATATATCTATATATAGTTAACTAAAATTAGCTAACGGGAATATACAGCATTCTAATTCAGGAAAAAGAAATAGGCTGTTATTCAACAAACATTTTTCCAAAGTACTGACATGGATTTTTTAAAATTCTATTCAGACAAATAAATAGCAACAAATAAATTCTCAACAATGTTGAACTGTCTAAGAACTCAACCATTCACAGTTCATGCAGATATTATGCCTCTTGACACAAAAGGTTTTCTGTATGATCTGTAGTAAAAAAGATTACTGCTTATTTTACTCATTAATGAAACAAAACTATCTCTGTCATGAAATCCTGCAAAGAAACATGTGACATTTTTGGAAATAGATGGTACCTTTTCAACTGAAGCTGCAACAGGAGAGGTGAGATGTAGACTCCACCAGCAAGCTTAAACAGCTTCACCACAATACCACCTCCACCGAGAAAAGAACTATTGGATCAGCAGTGATTTATCTATGTGTTACATAGACTGTATGTCAAAGTTATATCCAAATGCTTTTTGGTTCCTGGTAGAGACCACAAAGAGATAGGTATCCAAAGTGAAGCCCTCCAGAAAACTGACTGAGGCATAGCAAAATCTCTTTGACCGCTCACATATCCAATGTTTCAGGCACTAAGGGTCTCTTGAATTTCCCAGAAAGTAACTTAAAAAATTGTTCTTGACATGAGATAGCACGTGCACAAAAGAGCACTCATCTAGAAAATAAATATATTGTTGGTCAGTTTATAAACTGCACTCTAGCACAGTTGTTAGAATTATGTTATAGAATTGTCACAGTCAGCAGCAGGGAAAGGTCTGAATGCCCCACAGCCTGCCTGGCAATTTATGACAAGACCCAAACAGAGTACAGCATAATGCTGCCTCTTTTATATCATTATTTATCCTAGATAAACCATGCTTCCATTTTAAATACAAGTCTCCAGTTACTATGGCCCACTGGAATATGATGCCATGACACCTGTCTGCATTTGCACAACCTGAAACAACAGCTCAGTCCCATTCATCTCAACAGGGACTAACTCAGATACCCAACGATAACAGTGCTGACATTTAAAGTATTAATTATTTCACCACACATCAAAGCACATAAGACTGGTGAAGGAGGAGGATGTTTTGAAGATCTGCACAATTTACCATGAGTGACAGCTCGCTCTGATATCACAGTGATGCCCTGGGAGATGCGTGTTGTCCCTCTCCGCCAGTCAAAAAAGGGCCTCAGTCAAAGCCCTTGGCAAAGTTCTGCAGCTTGCCTATGCTTTACTCTACGACACAGAGCAAATGCCAACAAGCCCACTGTTTGCAAAGCATAAATGAGAAGAAAGAAGGTATGCATACTTCTAGACATATCTGGAGCATAGAAAACTGAGCAAGGGAACATATTTAATACTTAGCACATGACACCTAACCTTCAAGAGCTTAACATACAGAAAACAAAGCACAAAGTCTTGGACTCCAGCTTTGCACTGAGGACTACCATCACTCAAACCAACAGTAAAGAGATGCTTAGTATTCACCCTACAGAATAAAATATTTATCTTCACATTGCTGAGTACAGAAGATCTTTGCTTACAGTCAACAGCAATTCTGTGCATTGGGAATCATGTGCATCTGGTCAGTCTACTCGGAGGAGTACATTAGGACCTAGAGACCTAGAGTTGGAAGGATGCTACCAGAAGTACACACCTTGTGCTATATTTGCTGTTTCAGTAACAGCTTTCTCAAACACCACGCTCCCAACACAGCAATGTCTTCAACAGGCTGAAGGAGCCCATTTGCTCTGTGCAAGTGCTTACAGATCACATCAGTTGTGTTCGGGCCAAGTGAACTCACTCTTCCAATTTCTAGAACTCACTGTGTCCTTGTAAGCCTTGCTTTCCACAAGCAGATAACAAGAGCTTCTCAAATCTACTTACAAGCTTTAGTAAAACAGTACCTCCTATCCTTAGTACCTGGCACAGAAAGTGAAACACCACAGCCTGGGAGACCAACATATCCTACAGATTAGTTTATATTGCATTGCTCTGACAAGTTAACTCCAGGAGGATTTTTGCTCAGCAAGGAGAATTATGTTCAAAATCTCCCTGAAATACGCATTTCCAGGTTAGAAACTGTATGACAAAGTAAATGCAGAGCTGTGATCAAACTTAAGATATGAAAGCCTACGAGACATATCTGCAGCTGGCGTAAACTGAGGTAAGTGTTATTAAAGTCAATGGAGTTATAATGGCACTACTTAAAGGAGCAGAGAATGTGAATCTGTGTAGTATTACAGCAGAATATGAGGCTACTGCTGGATTAGCAGCAGGGAACAAATGTCCTGTTTTAAGAACAACTGATGATAGAGAAGTAATACAGAACACGGGGGTGTATGTGTAACCTGTATTCACACCAGTTTAAGGTTTATTTGGAGGATAAATATTTAATTATGGTGATTTAAAAACAGACTTATCACCCTTATTATACTAATTACGGATGTCAATTGGTTCAGCAGCTGCCACTGCCAGTAACAAGCCATTCCACTAGATTTTTGCCATACTCCAGGACATTGTTGGACACCCACAGAATCTTATTGGCTTCACCCTTAGAAGGGTTTTCCATCTGGCATCTGTAGGGAAAAGTCCACACATAACATTTTGGTGATGAGAGGAGTTTGATGGGTGAGATGCAGCACCCTGAATGATAGCACTTAAGAGAGGAAATGCTGACAGAACCATAACTACAGCAATGCCAGCACAGCACACTTTGCTAGGAGCCCATTATAAATACCCATTATAGGATGCATATGAGCTCCCATAACAGCTCTGCTGTGGCATTTAGATTTACCCTTGAAATTTATACCTGATTTTTATACTCATCTTTTTAACACTTTATCATTTTCTTCTTCAAACAACCTGTATTGTTACTATTAAAAAAAAAAAAAAAGACCAAGTATAATCGGGTCAAACATTAATATTTGATGGTATATTAAATATTGAGGGCACAAACAGAAACACACTTCACAATACTAAGATCACTGCTTTTCTGCTTCCACATTTTAGGAAAGTATTGGTGGCCTGGTGACAAAAAGATCTGCCTAGGACCTGGGAGATCTGTTCCCCTGTCTTCAGCTTTCCTGCACAACCACAGGCAGTGCTTAATCCTTCTTCTTCCCATGGCAGTTCCTCATGTACAGAAAGGAAGCACATGTCTGACGCAGCGAGGCCCTGATGAACCTTTCAAGGTCTGGTTTTCTATGAGTAATTATCATTGCTATACCTGCGATGTGCCTATAGCCAGCTGCTCAGTAGTTTTAAATGACTTGACCCTTCGCGCTTTCCATCTGAGGTTATCTCAGCACTTAATAATTATTAAGGACTTAATATGACATGACCCTGCTGGTAGTGGAGCTGCTCGTTGGTGCTGCTGTTATTAATTCTGACAGAAGTACATCTTCCCATGCTTTCACTTTGCAGAATTTCACACTCCTCAGTCTCCTGGGCTAGATATTAATGTCTCCACATTTCTTCAGCGTTTGCCAAGCGCAGGTTGGATGTAAAGGGGATATATTTAGAGGAGAAACTCCTGTTTATAGAGACAACCACAGTTCAAGAGAGAAGTGGTCTCATTTGCATCCCCAAGCTGCCCCATTCTCTGATGGTTTGTCAGATAGAAGCTGTGTGACAGCTGCATCGCAATATAAAGCACTAAGAGTAACATGAAAATAATAAGATCAATTCTCACAAGAAAATAGATTTTCACTGTGATGCACTGGACTACCTCCTCAATAATAGAAAATATATTGAACTTTCCTGTTCAATACTTAATACATTTGTCTGCTCTACTCTTCCCAGCACAGACCTGCACTTCTGTGGTGCTACTGACTATATTTGACAAAGTGCTATGGACACATACATGTTCTCTGCCATTTAGATAACCTGGTTTCCTGGGGTTGGTAGCTTCTCTCTTGTCTTACAATGTGATTGGAGCTCTGCAGCCTTTCCTTCAGTGGAGGATTCAGATCTCTCCTATGAATTCCCATTTCTATAAAGCATGCTAGAGCTGTGCATCTTTGACGCCTCCACTTTTTTGACAGAAACTGATGGTTCAGAAGTTTTGGGAGGGTCCTAAAAGGACTCACAAGTGGAAGGACCTTGACTGCACGAACACAGCTTGCCTGGGGTAAGGACTGGTGTTTGTTCACAGCAGTTTTCTGATATCACAATTGAGGAGAGAAAAAAATAAATAAAAAGCCACCATGTTATTTTCATAGCTAAGAAGTTGTTTTTATTGCTATTAGCAGCAACGACCTGGGGGAATTGATTACACAGGTGAGCCTCTACCTAATAGCTGTGTTTATCATTTTGCCTGCCATGGTGGGAGAGCTGCAGGTTCCCATACAGACAGATTGAAACGTTGTCTATTCTACCCTTGTTCGGCATCTTTCATGAAGTGCTGCTTCGTAACATATGGCAGTGAGCACCCACTCACTCCTCTGAGAATGCTAACAGATATCCCTATGCCAGCAACAGCAGTAACACAGGGATAGTAGATTTAACTTTCCTCTCTTCCGCCAGCTCCTACGTACGTCTTCATGTCCCTCTTAATGGAAGCACACTAATTAATATGTCAGAGAACTGCACTACAGTCTGACTCCAGTCCCCCTCACTAGTACAGATAAGTCTTGCAATCGAGACAGCTTCACAGTAAGAAATACACGTATTTTCATAGACAGATGCATATTTCTATTTTACACATCTCTGCATCACTCCGCTCCTAAAGCTCTTTCAGCACTGGTATCAACAGCACTCAGAGAAAGGCCCTCGCTTTGTGTTGAAGAACTGCAAACCCAGGCCTAACCAAGCAAAAAAAAGTATAGGAAAACCTGACATTTTCTATCTGCAATAATAACTAAATAATTAACACTCTCTGAAGGTAAAAGCATCACAGCTGATGCTGCCCCTAAGAGCCCTTCACTGCACATAAACCAACAACCTTTGGTAGCTTTGGCCAATTATCAATCAGAAAATGCATTAGAAGAGGATGCATTTCTAAAGCTTTTGGTCAGATCCTGATCTCACAAGTCCAAGCCTAATTCCAGAACGAATCTATTCTGCTTCAGGACTGTTTTGGTGCAAGATCAAAAGAAAGTCCTCATCTTCACTCAGTCAATGGATATAATTCTAATGCCTTCAACCAACCATGGATCAGATCACGGTCATAACAAAAATAACCCTATGTCAGTTAAACTCATGTTTCTTCAGAGCACCACATGTCATTTAAGACTTCATTCTTGCTGCGAGTTTCTTAGTGTGACAGTCATGAATAAAAAACTTCCCACATATATAGCTAACAGTAATTTAGCATTTGTACTAATGAAGAAGATATAAAATAACATATGACAGGAACAGGAGTCTCACAAAGCACTGGTTCTTCCTAAAGTCTCTGATTTCCATTCAAATTTTTCCAGTTTTAGGAAAATTCTAACTAGTTCACCCAACATATGGCTAAGGTTTTCCCTTAAAATTTTTAATAAGAATTTATTGGACCTTCATCATTACTTTCAATTGATTGCTTAAAATCCAACCAACATAATACTCAAAGACTAGTTCATGATGGTTGTTGGTAAGAAGAGGCTTTAAAAAGCAATAATTTCTTGCATTTTGAGAAACCTGAATGTGATCCAGTGGGAGCAAGTCCATCTCTTTAAATACAAACCCACCCTTTAAACACTTTATATTATCATTCTCCAGACAAGGCTAATAGGGTACAGAAAGTTGAGCACACACATTGCATGCCATTGCTGGCCTGATGTTCAACGAGCTGCTCATCTGCTCCCATCTGATTTTCCCTGTCCAATCCACGGACTGTTCTCTCCATAACATCAGTGTTCTCCTGCTGGCTGAGGTGAATGTAGGGCACTAAATAAGTTGATAATCCATTTAAGAATAGAAAAAAACAAACAATTGTACTTATTTCCTACTCAGTTCATTGGCTTCTCTCAATAGAAGATGCTCCTTGTCCTCTGGGATTACCTTGAAAATGAAAGGTTACCCCAGTGAGGAAGAAATATAAAATAAATACTGCTATAAAGAAAACATCTTCTGATATAAGGAGCAATGCTACTGTGTTACTGTACATCCAACATACGCACGGGCAGACCCATAACATAACAGCATGAGCTCTATTCTAGAAGAACTATTAACGTGTACTAACAGTTGCTTAACACCTCTGCACAGCAATGAAGCTGCCCTATCCAAATGTCACAACTGGCAGAGTGGCCTTCAAACAGCAAGAGGCAGAACAAACAAACAAACAAGCAAAGCACAGAGTTGTCTGTAGTGCTTACCAAAACAAAGAGGCTCAGAGCTTGAGCTCCTCCAGCGCAAATCAGAAGCACCTACCTGTGTAAATAAACCTGCCTGGGGCGCCTTTGCAAAACTGTTTGGATTTGTATGATAATGTCACTTCAACCACTCCGGGAATGTGACGTGGAGGCGTCTGAACTCGAATGGCATGAGGTGTGATAAGCTGGGAAATGACAAAAGGAGAGACACAATTACACGGCTGTGTTATTCCCCCTGCTTACCTGCACCCTCCAAATGTGCTTTATGAGTAAGTGCACTGCTTAATGCTGTGTAGCAGATGCTACGGATTAGGCAACTGATATATCTTGTGTCATTTCTTACCTCCAGGAGAGGAAAGAGCATTTTAGGATAAATTGTCATCAAGGAAAAATATTGTTACTTATACCCATTATTTCTGGACCCAGAGGGAATTCTTTCTCCTTTACAAACTGTTCCTATGTTCACTCCTCCTTTCTCTCCTTCTATACGTTTACCTGTCTCCAGACCCCGAGAGTTAGTCAGTCCTACTCTGGGTATTACTGAGCAGTTGGCCTCAGTAGTATCACAGAGCAAGTAGTTCCCCAGAGTAGATTTCTATGAATCACCTTCCTGGAGTTTTACATGGCCCATCTTACGCACCACCATTTTTGCAGCATTACTGGAATGGGAAATAATGCTGCTCCCTCCCTACTTTCCAAAGAACAGCAGTGTTCCTTCAGCTTGGGAGGTGCTCCTACCTACCTCACTCCACACAAGCATGGTTCCAAACACTACTTGAAGCCCATCAAAGAAGTTGTCTCCAATAATGATCACCATTGCTCCTCCTGTTGTCCACCCTTCGCTTGGGCTGATTGCTTTGATACAAGGTGTGGCTGAACAAAACCAAAAGGAGAGCAGAGCGTCAGATAAGGGATTTAACATGCTGGGTGTAAACCCTTGCAGAAGATAAGTGCAAGCGACCTCTGTGCACGTGAAGCAGTCCTAAGTCATACTGGGGCAAACCGTAGCTTCACCTGTCTGCTCCTGGGACTTTCTGCACTGCTGCAGCTTCACACTGCCACGAATTCCCCAGTGCTGACAGAGGCCTAGGACATGTCCCTCCAGCCAGTCACCTGTGAAAGCTGCTTTTCCATTCCAGAAAGCCAAAGAAGGGAGCAAATAAATAAATAAATACAAATACATGCATGTTTTCTGCCTTGCTAGTGTTAATTACTTGCCTATTCATTACCAGCACTTAACACTGTGTCATTAAAGCCCTAATAGGCCAACTGTAGTGGGTGTAAAAATGAAATGCTTAAATGATCATGCAGAGGTTGTTTTAAAAAAAAAAAAAACCAACACCCACACTCATTAGCATATGATCACACAAAAGCTAAACCCTGTGCAAAGAGACGTAGATCAAGATTTATTAGGTTTATCAGTGGGCAAGAGAGATACGGAAATATCAAATGTTTCCTCCAATTCTTATCAGGAGACAATTTCTAACAATTTTCTTGGTTTTGTGGAATAGAGTTTTTTTTTCTTCTCTCTTCCATATGTTCAAGGCCTCTGGACTATACATCCCATCAGGAACCCAATATGGTTTCCAGGCCATAACCAAAGTCAATCCATCACTCCATTCCCAATGTTGACAGGGTCAGAGGTGGAGGGGAACTTTGGCAGGGCTCCAAAAACATGAGACTCCTTTGAACAGCCAGTCAATCACATCCAATCAGTCAAGGAAAAACTGGATGGCTTCCTAGGCTAGGAATCCTGGGATTTTCCTTCTACCATTTCACTGCCCGCTGGGGGAGAATTAACACCACTCTGAATTCTTTACTGATTCAATCATTTTCTTCCAGTTCATTAATTCTTCTTATAGGTTGATATAGGGCACATTTAAGGAGTGGGGCAGCAAAACATTATAATGAAATAATATCCCTGCTTGTCTTTTCTGCTAACATCACTAGCTCTTCTCACTTTCACTAGCTGCAGGGGAGGGAAAAGTAGACACATATAGCATTTGCTAGTAATTTGGAGTACAGTCTGCATGAGAAGGCAGAACGCGTTGGTAATGAATGCACGAGAAGAGGGAGAGGAGGGGCCAACCACTCTGAAACGTAACAGACCCAAGTATTTGTAATTAATACAGTCCAAAACCATCCTGTAGACGGCCGTGAGCCCTGCTTAGCCAAACAAACTAAAATCAATTAGTGTCAGTTTCCTTCTGTGCATTGTTATGCTTTGCACATAGTTTGTTTAAGGGAAGCAGTGACACTTTTTCATACACATCTTGTGCTGGAACAGTTCTGTTTAACTAAGATGTCATGTTGCCTAATTTGCCTGAAATCAAATCAATCCCAGCTGAAAAAGAAGTCCGAATTTTAGATAATACTCAGTGTTTCTGCGTTTTTCATCTCTTCAGGACAAACTAGTAAATGAATTGGGAGGGGGAGGAGGGAAGCCAGCATCTTATATGTGAAGAGGATGATATTTTGCATGCAGTAGACACTGTTTTCCTGCCTTTTCCTTCTCTAAGCCCCCTGAGGTTCTGTAGTTCCCTCTTAGCTCTCCTTTCCTTCTGAAAATAAACAGAAATTGAGGAATGGGTCACATGCTTTTGGACTCATTTCTGTCCCACTCTTCATACAGCATCCTACCTTCAGAGGGGTCGAGTCTCCTTGCTCTCCGTCCATGCTTGGAGTTGTTGTGAACAAACATGTTGTCAGACACTGCCAGCACGTGCCCATCAACATTCACTGTTGTGGATAGCACAACCTAGATATTTTCAAAGGGAAGAAAAAGGAGGCAGGTAAACAGCTTAGTTGGATATTTAGCTCATAATGTATTAATTATTCAGTTTAGTTAAAATCTTATTCTGTTTGTAAAATGAAATCATGTCCTGCAGGTTTTACTCCCTAGCAAGAATGGGAGAAAATATTCTCAGCCTTTACTCTGTGCATTAATTCCATTTAACACAGCATCCTAAGGGCCATATAAAGTCCTTAATGTATAATGAACCAGCTACTGCAGATGGCCCTAAATTTTGTTTCCTATGATGCACCGTAGCATAGCTGATGGCAAAGAGGTCTGTACACAGCAACCAGGAGGACAGGCTGCAGAGCACCGCAGCAATTTGCCCTCTGATACATACATGCAGATTCAGAGCCATCTGCTGTACTGCACACACATGCAAATGCATCTGCTTCAGAAATAAAGGTCTCCATTGACCGAGCAAAAGAGAAACTCCTACGACGTGAAAAAAGTACCTAATACGATGGCTGGTTTTTACGTATACAGTCTGAGTGCCTCTCAGAAAACACCTGAGCCTGAGCACACAGAGTCAAGCACCACATTTGAAAGCCTTGGCCTCCATGGCTTCACTGCTGGGCTCTGAAGGCGTAGGAATTCTTAGAGTAATTGAATATGTTAATGAATCCTGCTTCACTCTCCCTTTCAAACACAACTCCCAAACCTGTCTTTAAACCACGAACTTTAAAGAAAAAAGTAAAGAAATAAACGATCCTGCATTTTAAAACCGAAAAAAGATGCATCTTGTTGAAACTTTGGGGTTTTGGCCATCAGTTGGCACAAATCAGCTCAGCCCCACTCAGCTGCCACGCAGCAATAGAAACCCACAGCTATTGAGGATTTGACCCTGGACACATTCACAGCTGGCGTGGTCCAGGTAAGAGAATAGGCTCTAATTGCTGATGAAGCAATACTCATCACACAGCACGAGAAACCTTGCCCTCCGGCAGGATTCTGCAAGTTTAAAGAATACTTTCTTTCTCGAGACAAGTTTAATTCATTCCAAAAGGCTCTTGTCATACCGTGCTCTTATATTTCCCAAGCATTCTTGTCACAAAATGTGTTGCTTTCCGTGTGCCAACGGATTTCATCATTGCACATTTGGGTGGAGTGAGACTCCTATCCAGGGTGAACGCTTCCCGCATGACATAGCTGAACCCACTCAGATGCACTTCATTATTTTCCGTTAAACAATGGAAATAAATTTTAATCTCTCACTGGCCAGCGCAGAGCACACTGTGGCAACAGGGGAATAGGCCTGAATTATTCCAGTGTCTGAAATATTTACGACAAGTGTTTAAATTGCAACCAAATGTAAATCAGAAGTATATCATATATATACAGTTACATTATATAATACATACATACCTGACCTCACATACACAAGGTACATATGTGATAAATGCACACCCGTGTGCCCTCGGTATGGGATTTTTTATAGTATCTGCAGACTCAAGTATGCACACTCCCTGTTTGAAAACCCACTTGGGTGTCAATGCTGCACAAAAAAAAAGGAGTCCTATTTCAAGAGCAATAGCAAAAAAAAGTCCTGCGTTTAGAAGCTGAGTGTTGAGCATCCTCAGTTCCAGCTGAAGAACCTCTCCCTGTGAATGGCTCCATTTCTATTTAACTCTCCTGTTTAATCACAGGAGGGTCAAACCCAGTTGGTGTTGCATCAGCTGGGCCCTATGGTAAATAACTGCAATCCTCAGGGATAGAACAAAAGCAAAGTGCAGATCTGGACCAGAGCCTTCTCAAAGTTTTAGACCTTCTTTGCAGTAATCTTTAAGGCACTACTGAAATTCAGCACGCATCTTTCTCATGGTTACTATGACACAGCAAGCCAACTCATTATCAGTGCTGTGGAGTAAGAATATGCAAGATTATGGACGTAACAACTCCTGAGCTTCTCTACTTTGGTTTGGTCATTCCTTCTTGGCTGGTGAAGATGGCAACCCAATTGTTTTATACTGAAGATTAAAAAATAATGTTTTATGGATAAAGGGAAGAGGAATGCGCATTCCACTCTGGTCTCTAACTCCCAGGCCCTTCCCTTTCACAAGCCAACTGCTTTCCCCCAGTGAGTATTTCCTGGGTCATGAAGGGTGACCCTTTCCATCTGGAATCAATCAGTCAACTCCTGACAACTTCCTGAAACACCTCACTCCATTTCCTGTTCTCTCCCCCTTCTCCCTTTCCCCCTGGTTTGCTTCACTCTTCAAAACTGCAGGCCACAGCAGCTTAATGTTAGAGGGTCAGACACAGTTAGACTCCAAAACACTACATAAGAACACCTTTGACCTTCAAAAATCTTTACATCTTAGCTAAACAAATCAAGGTCAACGCTTCTTACCATTACCTTGTTAACCATTTCTAGGCTTTTTTTTTTTCTTTTTTTTTTTTTTTTTTTTTTGCAATACCTTTCTGAACACATATTTATCAATAACACTTGTTCTCCCAACATCGTAAAACATCCCAAGCCTTTTTGTAAACCCGTGTTTAGTGCTGCTGAAAGGCAATGTGCAAACTGCTCTGGAGATTTAAGTTCTCAGATTTGCCCACAGCACTGGCAAATTATTGACAAATGTTTTGGGGTTTCTGTTTCCAGATCTGATGGCTTGACTTCTTGTGTGTGGAAATTCAGCTTCTACACCAATTCCATTTGAGATCTTCTTGCTAAAATCAGTAGTTAATGCAAAACACAATTCTGAGGAAACGACCTGAGAACATCAAAATATGTCAGCTAGAAAATGCATTCTGGTAATTGTAGCTTAAGGCCAAATTTGACATAGATGGCATAAATAAAAAAGATGTTATGCTCCTAAACAGCTGGATCAACCAGTCACCTCCAGTGGAGCTTCAGAGGACAAGCACCTGAGCAAGAAACAGACACAGCAAAGTGCTCCTTCAGCCACCAAAGGTGGGTTCCATCTACAGCAACAGCAAGGGAAGTGCCAGCTTCTCAGCAGGGCTTCCAGCACTTCTCCAGAATCTCTTTGCACATCTGCAAGGGTCTCAGAACCAGCTATGAAGCCACAGACCTGAAGCAACGATTCTGCAGCAGTGCTGAAGAAACGTGTGGTTGTTTTTGCTTCCCAGGTGGATTTCTGTAATGCGCTCCCTCCTCAAAAGCCGCAGTGAGGGCTCATCACCTCCCGTGACATTCAGTCAGACCGGGTTTAGCACATGGCACTCAGGTTCCCCGAGCTGGATTGCCCCTCTTCCATTTCCCTGCACAGTTCAAAGTGTTGGTGTTACTTTACCTTAAAGATTACCTCTCTGACTCGCCAGTACTGACAGCACCAATCAGTCTAACAGTTCACATTACCCGTTTTCAGACTAAAATCTTCAGCTCTGGCAGCAGCCGTTCTTCGTTAATGACTGCGTCCCCTGCAGAAGCCCACTGAAGGGTGGGCGATGGGGCAGGCACATTCTGCACCTACCTAATGGTACCTTAATGAAAAGTTCAGAAATACTACAAATTCTTGGTCAGAGGCACTACAATCTTTCCTCCGCCATCTGTACATTATATTGATACCTCATTAATATAAACTCTGCTCCTCTTCAAATCGCATACGTGCAAGGAAATACCCAGCATCTACGTACAAAAGCTGCATCACTCGTAGACACCTATTCAGACATATGGTACAAACATTCTAGGCATAGAGGCGTTTATTTACATGTAACATATCTCATCACTGTGTAAATGATCTCTCTCAAAAAATTCCTGTTACCATTCCAAGTGTGGAAAAAATTCTTATGACATTGTACATCTGGAAACAATATTACATTCCTGATGCACTTTCCCTTACATCTCTCTAGTCACAGCACCATGTTATTTTAACTTTTCAGAAGAATAACTACTAGGAGGATTTTAAAAATTATTAGCGTTATTATTATTTTCCAGCTGGGTGGAAGAAAAGATGTCAGGCCTCATCCTGCTGTCTTCACTTGGATGGGGCTCCCATTGATGTCAACAGGCGTTTGGGTCGAGTAACACAGGAGTAGATGCTATAATATGTGTTTGCTTCATAGTTGGATTAGGAATAAGATAAACAGAGAGGAAAATGCCAGCAGCTTCTCTCTGCTCAAAACTTCCATCAGATTCTTCGGGAAATCCCCTCTGATACCCTAAGCCTGCTGAAAACTGGGAGCTGATAGGAGCTCTGCACGTGGCCTTCATTTTGGGAGTGGGGCCTCCTGCCATTTTAGGGGCACTGGGTAGGAGATAACTCCTGGGTCACTGCCATCCCATCTCCCGCTGTTACAGACGACTAAACCATGCAGCCACTTCTAAACAACTGTCTTAAACCAGCTGGTGCCTTTGGATCTCGTCCTGTTTTAAAGCCTATGTCTCCTGATGGTGAGGGGCTTAATGGTTTACAGCCTAAGTTTGTAGTCAGGTCACACGTAGCACAGGCTCTGAAATTACTATTTCCCATTCCGATCTATCTCAGGATATTTTCAGTTATGCCCTTTCTCAGTGTGTGTTCCTGAAGTATAAGAGCTAAGTATCCCTCCCTATTCCACAGTGCTCCAGTCCTGCACCTGTACCAATCCCATTTCCATTCCGTTTAAAATCAGTTAAACCAGCACACCGTATTCCTGACACAAACACACCCTTCCTTCTACCAGCAGAGTTTACCTGAGATCCAGTAGGTTCTCATTTATGGTCTGCTTTAATGGATGATACACAAGTTCGGCAACCCACGGTTGTAATGGCCACTTGGCCCCCAGATCTGAGCACACTGAGCTCTCTGAGTGGTTCAGTTGCAATCAGTCCCACCCTTACATATATAGACTCTAAAATAACATCACCTCCAGTGAAGAATTCTGCCAGCAGTAGCTGGACTCTGCTGGTAGAAGTTGCTCTCATTTTGCAAGCTATAGCTGGGAAATGAATCTCCCATAATGACATCAGTTCCTGTAGTATTCATCTCTCTAACAGAGATCTCTGTCCACATCCAGATCTGACTGTGGGGGTCCTTAGCACGTTCTCTCTCCATCAGTCTGAAAGTGATTTTGATTTAGACCAGTTCTGCTTTCCTCCGGCCATCCCTTTCTGTTTCTTCACACAGTGCAGCATTCCTAAACCTCAGCACCATCAGACTGCTCTGACCCGTTTTATTCCTTCCCAAACAATACAGATCCTTCTGTGCTTCATACTGAGCCGAGCTGGGTGAATTCTCAAACACAGCCAGCTTGGCTCAGGTGCCTGATGATGAACTGATCCAACCACTCCGAGGTCAGGAAGGAAATCTCCCCAGGGACATACCTTGTTATTTTTCCTTTCTCTTTCTCCCTAGAGCACCTAGAGGGGAATACTTGCCAGGAAACATTCCATGTCATGATTTCTGCAGAAAACAGAGGACAGTTGCCGACCTTTCTCTTTTCTGTTACTAAAAAATGATGTTGATTCAAAGATGACCATCATTAGCTGTTCTGTTGCCCGGTCCCATTCACAACCACAGCACTGTAGGATCTGTACAACCAGTGTGAGTGGATGCAGCAGAATTCCCAGTCAACAGGAGGCTAATGCTTTAGCACCAGGTCTCAGCTGAAGCATTTTAGCTGAAGTGCCTCATCTTAATTCCACAGAATTATTGTCCCCCATTACACACCGGTCGTTACCATTAAGTGTCATTGGGCTTCAATCAAGTTCTCCAGGAGAAGTCCTCATTAAGTGGAGGGCATCACTGCTTCTTTTTTAATTCTGTTTCTGAGAGTGCAGCAGTGACAGTAATGACAATACACAGGAAAGCTCAGATTTGCAGATCAGTTGAACTTGAATAGCGCTGTGTTTGAGCCGGTAACTCAAACATTCCTTTTATGTTGTTGGTTTCATTTTTCACCTTTCATTCAGAAATGTTTTAACTGATAAATAATCAATATTTGCTTCGGCTGAATTGACAAGAATGTGTTCATGTGTGCATGTGGGCAGGCAACAAGTAACCATGAAAACATCCATTAGCAATAGAAAGCTTCCCCATCCTTACTGAGTCACAGTAAAATTACATTATTACTGGGAGAAGGGATGTTAAAATAATGATCACATGTCCTTTAGCTTCTGAGGTGCAACAGATTTCAACAGTAGAAAAATATTAGATGTGTAAGCTCTGTAAAAGTTGAGAGATTTTCATTTCATCTGCGAAGATCTACTTAATATCAAAGCAAATTTCAAACAGTTAACGTGATCACAAAGCAGCTGGTGTTGCTTCCAAACCAAAGAATTATTCTTAAAAACAAACAAAAAACAAAAACTTAAAAAATCCCAACCACAACTCTTCAGGCATCTGGAGCTGAATTAAAATTACAATGCAGTGTTAATGTAACCTTTACACCCTTTTTTCTCCCCACCCCCAGGTTGTGTTTTTTTCTTTTTTTAAGTGGGTGTGATATAAACGAAATCTAACATTTAATTTAGTTTAACAAACTGTAACTATGCTACACAAGAGCTAAATCTTGTATCTAGAAATACAGAGGCTGAGGCCAGGATCTGCATCCCAGTTCCCTGGAACCAAAACGAACAGCTTCACACCCATCTCTAATCAGAAGCATTGACTTGACACTCTTCCAGACATGAGTAACCATTCATCCCTGCTTGGAGAACTCAGTAAGCTGTGTTGTGCTGCACAATTTCCATGTCTCTTATTTACATTTCTGTCTCAACAACAAAGCCAAAGCTTTGGGCTTTCATTCCATCTCCATTAAAGAGCAGAAATGTTTTGATGAGACCCTTTCAGTTCCAGATTTCAGTAGCAATGGGAACTTGGAGACGGGGATTCTCTCTTCTGTGTTTTGTTTTGTTTTTTTAAATAATGAGCTAAATAATAAAATCAGTAAAGCAGCCAACTGTACTGGGCTTTTGACCTTGCTTCTACTCTGATCGTACGTTCCTGGACAAACATCCATCCTTTCAAACCCAAGAAGCAATCCTGCCCATTAATTACACCGCCTGATACAAATCTTAAAAACTAAAACGAACACGACCATGCCCATGGTGCACAAGTGTATACTGCTAATATTTGAAACAACACCCCCTTTTCCACTTAAGACTTCAAAAGCAGCCGACAGACACAGCAAGAATCAGGCAAAAAAAGTGTTTGCCTAAATTAAAAACAATAATACTAAATTGGAGGAGGATCCTGATGACACAGCAGACCACTCAAGAGTGCTCTTTTTTACATCACAACCATGGAAGTCACGCTTCAACCCCTAGAAGCAATCCAGCAGACTGAAAACAAGCTCTGTCTGCAGTCCATCCTGGCTAATTTCCATTGGAACACTGAAGTTTTTACTCTGAACACATACAATTTTAGCAATGGAACCAACTTTTTTTTTTTTTGTAACTTTATTCATACATTCTGAGCTCCACAGCCCAGAACGAAGCTCATCAACCAACGCGCCCCGTGCTGAAGGTGCCTGAACAAAGATTCTGCTTTCCCTCAAAACCTCAAGCATTTGACAATTTGCTTCAAAGGGCTCATTTTCATAACACCCAAACGAAGTCCTGTGAACATTTCGGGTTTCAACAGACAGATGAATGCAGAAGCTTTGTCTAATCTTGATTAACGTTGAGGTTTGAACTTAAATCTCACGACAGAACTGGAAAGGATATGAATCCACATTGACTGCAAGTGCAAGAAGAGTTTAAGCAATCTCTGCAAAATAGAACCAGAGCTGTGCTTGGCTCTTTGCTTCAGGCTTGGCTGCTGTAAGGCAGAAAAACCAGATCAGGAGGCGTTGGCCCCAGCTCACTTTCGTCTCCAGTAAGCTGCTGATTTTGGTACAAAGATCAAAAGGAAGCCAATGCTTCCTCATGTACAAGAGGAATGCCAGGTGGATGGGCTGAAGGCATTCCATCAGTACGTGTGCATGCTGTAAAGCTCGTTTTAGTTTCACTTTTCAATGTCCCACTAAAAACGTGAAGCTGTTGAGATTCTTAATAAAATGGCTATTTTTGCTGTGGAGATGTGGTGAAACAAAGAGTAAAGCTGACAGTAGAGAGAGATCTTCACCAAAAAAAAAAAAAGAATCCAAAATCCTCATGCAATTCAGCATTCACCTGAAATCTACAATTTCAGCTTCAATCACAAAGTAGAGTTCATTTTTTTGCTCTTGTAACTCTATCATTGGTATTATGGCAATGCTAACCAGGATGCCCTTGTGCACAATTTCCTACAAACTCATAACCAAATGAAGAGTCTCTGGATTCATGCTTCATTACACTCTGCCCTCAGCCATCCTAACCAGCCCTAAGAGCTAACAGGATCAGTTCACATGCTATCATTTGAGTTTTCCTTTACTCTCCTTTTTGGCATTCATGGAAGATGATAATGGCATTTTTTTTCTTGGTGGAAATTACAATTTCCATCGATTTGCTAACAATTTGCTAACAATTGCCACCTCTATTTTTTTTTTTAATTATTATTATTAAATTTTTTGATGTCTTATCATCTCCAAAAAACACAAGGAGAAACTCCAGTCTCATCAAACCACTGATGCCAAAAAAACAAAGTTGGGTTGGACTATTATTTTTTATTTATTTCCACTAAAAAAACAAAAAATAACCATTTTTATATCTTTAGCCAACACTTCTCTAAAATTTTTAGAGCTTTCAGTGATACCAGAGTGGATTTTTGTTTTCACCAACCCGAGCTTTTTCTTTCTCTTTGAGAAAAAACATCCCTCCCGTGAAACTGTATTCCCACTAAAAATATAAACCAAAATGCATCATTTCGTGGAAAGTTTGACACGGGGCTGTAAATTTCTATGGAGTTTTACTTGGTTTCTAAATGAGGAAACTGAGGCAAGAGCCCAATAACTAACCATGACTTGGCAGACCTCAGGATGTCACTGCCCTCCACAGACCTGATGGGTCTACAGGAAAGCCATGCATCCCCCTGCAGCTAAAACCTTCTTTGTGCCACGGATGGGTAGCAATGAGGGCACGAGAAAAATGGCAACAAGTAGTAAAACCACGTTACCCTTTTACAGGTAAAACACTAAACTATTAGACATAGCTGCTTAAAGATTAGAGTGTGGAAGAAGAGGGACTGCGTCAGCCTTTCCCTTCTCTGCTTCTAACCTGACACACTTCACCTCCTCCTGTGTTTTTATTAGCTGGTGTTCACAATACATCAGCGACAGCTATGATGAAACCAGTGGCAGATTTTACTGCAAAGCAGCTGGGTCATCGTCCCCTGGGTCTTGTTGCTTTCCTGCGTGAGATCTTAAAGTGACCATCACTATTCGGGCTATTTTTTTTTAAAGAAGCTGAAAGGAGGGCGTGAAAGAGTTAAAAGCCAAAAGAGATGGGAAGAGAGAGTGGAGGGAAATAGGGAGATGCTTCTGTACCACGTACAGAGCTACTTTGAAAAATTCTGAGGCATCTAAGTATCACAAACACGATCCCTGCTGTGGGCAGCTGTACGTGCGAGTGCTTTGCCCGAGGGTGTCAAATCAAATATCCACTGCTGGTTGGTACAGTACATCACTTCCCCTTGGGGATTTGGAGTGGGAAAAGACAGAGGAGAGGGGGGAAAAAAGGTTTAACCACAACAAACGGAGAAAAACTTTAACAATATCCGATATGGCTTATCATAGACCGTCATCTTATTTATTACGAGCAACGTAGGGGAGAGGAGAAAAAGAGAACGAAAGAGACAGCTTAATGCTGAGCCTTACCTGGAACCGCCTCATATCTCGGGGGTTTCCTGCTGTTTTCAAACAATTCTGATTGCACTTGAGAAAAAATTTTAAGAAGAATCTGTAACGGTAAAGAATTGTGCCACTGTTATTAACCATAACGAAACGCGTTGTCGTGTTGTGACTGAAAGTACACAGCGGAGTGATTCAGATGGAGGTATGTCAGCCATCCAGGACTGGGAGAACTCGAAAAAAAAACCCACACAGCCAACCCCAACAAACAAAAAAAACCACACCAAAATTTAGAAAAATCATGTGAACTGCACTCAACTGGCTATAATCAGCTCTGAGATGGGCTGTTAGTTGATACAAATCAACGCAACTAGTTTGATTTATGCCCATTTCTCCACTGCACATTTGACCACGCGATTTGAGTCTGTTCCTTTATCTCTCCTGTGCATACAAGGGCTTTCTTTTGCTGTCTGAATGGATTTTCCATGAGACAATATAGAAGGATAATGTTATTGTGACAACTACAAAAACCGACAGGGCAACTCTGTGGCTGATAAGCCTTGAGACTACTTAGAACATATAAAAAAACACAGAGACAAACAGAGCTCCCAGAAGAAGCTGATGAGATTTCATCCTGATGATGTTTTTAGCTGTTAAGATTTCGGTAACTAAAGCAAAAAAAGACCCAGATCGGAACCTTGCACTGATTCTGAGAGAGGATAACAAAAACACAAATGGAAGTAATAGGTGACAGCTCACACTGTCCAAGCAGATAAACCCATTAACATCATACAATGTGTCCGTGCCAATTATTTTTGCCCTGTCACATATATCTATCTTTATACATTATTCTCCCATCGAGTTCAGCTTGCTGTGGATGTGAGTTGAACCTTCAGGATGCTGATGGGCTCACCCAGCACCATGAGTTATAACATACAGATCTCACACTTCAGCAATATTAGGAGGCCTTTATCAAATTTGGGTACTCCACAAAATTTTTCATTAGGATTCATCCCTTTATTATCTGATTCATCTGATGACATTTTGAATTTACGAGGTAAAGGAGCCAATTCTACATGAAAGATCACAGTTGTTGGATTAAAGACATGCATGTCTTCACAAATTCAGACAAAACAGGCAAAAAAATCTCACAGATTCTTCACTCTACCGTAAGTGAAAATATTTTCTGTGACTCCTTTCTGCGTTTCCATTTGTAGAACAAAATGTGTTTAACAGCAACAATTAAAAAAAAAACAAAAAACAAAAAACAGATTTTAAGATAGGTTTGAACGGAAAAGATACAGATATGAGAAAAAAAAAGAATGATACAGTTGAAGAATTGGTTCAGAATACAAAGAACTTATTTATTTATTTCTCTTACTGAGTGCTTTTCTTAAAAAAAAAAAAAGGAAAAAAAAGAAAAAAAAAAAATCAGCTTTTGCAGTAAGTTAAAGTCCCAGGTGAGCCAGGCCTATTTCCCTTTCTGTTACTATGACAACGATTTTTTACCGCAGTCCCTAAGTCCCTTCAGAACTCACACATTCATGCCTTGAATTAGAACTTTAAAGGAGAAAGATGTATATTTCCTAGGGTTTACCAACAACAACTGCCAAAATAGTCCTAATGCAACACACAAAAAAGCAGAAATTCAGTTCTCCTTGCTATTGCTACTTCTTTGCATCACTTACAGTGCGGTATTTCTCTTCCATCTGCCCCAAAAATACAAAGAAATATCGAAGGATCTGATCCATTGAAATGTGGCTTGAACAAACAAAACCCTTCACAGACCTCCCTACAACCAAACCCACAAAAACGACCCAGGGAACGTCACATACAATGACTGTCACAAAATACATCCTTCTAGCGAGCATTTGTTTGCCTTAAATCTGTCACAAACACTTTAAACATATCTAAAATGTTTATTTGCTGTGCGAGTGCATTTTGCAGACCGGTATTTTTGTCTCCATTTTCATTTCTTGGTTACAACATCGCAGCTCTGAGTGCATGGGCTGCGATGGGAGCCCAACGTCCTCACTGATCCCATTGGGATCCAGGTGTCAGGAGTCCAACATCCCAACTGATCTCATCGGGATCCAGATGTCCCCATTGATCCCACTGGGATCCAGGTGTTGGGAGCCCAAGTTCTCCATTGGGATCCAGGAGCAATGGGAGCTGGGTCCGGGCTCCCTTGGGCAGCTCCTGGGATCCCAGCCCTGGTCACTCACAGATCTTTGTGCCTCAGGAGCACGCTGCATGTATTCTATCAAACAAGTTGTATCGACTCCTCGTGCCAAAACTGTGGCCTCTTTTATTTGAATGATCAGCAAGCAAGATTTTATCTGTAAGAACGTTTTCAGAACGAACAATATTATGCATACTGGCACACTCAGACATTCACAGGAGAATTCCAGCCAGAGATGTTGCTCACAAACTCCTTGTTATCCTGCCCTCTTCTTACAGATATCAAAAAATATTTGCAGATACATAAACTGCTTATGTTGCTGAGATCTGGCTGTGCAGGGAGAAACTACAGAACGCCGCCAAACTGTGTAATGAAACCAAGGCAAGCAACTTCTGCATGGAACTCAGTGAGCCCATGGATATCTGCGTGTTTGGGAGAAAAAATGCAAACAAAAACCCACAAGATTCATGGCTTGTCATTGCTTTCAAGGAAAAATAAAAGATCAAATTAATCAGGAAAGTGTTTGCTTTGTAATTTTTAAAAAATTCTTGTATGCCTTTCAGATCAGAGAAACAAGGCAAACTAAGGGGCAAAGATCAGAGCACAGACGAATCCAACAGAGCTCGCCGTGTCAGTGAGCTGAGTCCCACAGCACCGTGTGCTGCACCAAACCCCACAGCACAGGCACAAGAGGTAAAAATTCTACGCTAATCTGCGTTTAACAGCACCCAGGACTGAATTCCGTAACACCACGTGGCAATTAATGAAATTCATATTTTCTGTTAAATATCTAAAGAATGTTTGGGTGTGGATGCCCAGCTAGCGTAAATCAGAGGCATATGTGGAAATTAACTTGCATTTCAATTAGATCTGCACTGATTCATCCCACTGGGTGTACTGACCATTAAAACTACACAGAAAACAGAACTCTCCTTCTCTAAGAGCTGGATGCCTCCTTGGAGGAGCAGAGCATCACAGCCCTCCCCAGTGGTTGGGGACAAATATCCAGCGTCGAAGCACTCAGCCAGGATCTGTAACCAGGAGCAATTTCCATATGCAGCAAGTGCAGGATGCCTGGTTTGGTGGAGTTCTTGAGCCCCTCAAGCTGCTGAAAACTGTGCATCCCCTAAGATATCACAAGGTGGGGATCAGTAATCCCTCACCTCACTTCTCAAAGTGCTGCCTCAGCTCTGAGGTTGCAGCATTGGAGCAGAATCCATCCATCGCCGTGCCAACTTATCCATGGTTTCTTCAGCATATCACTGGATGTGCTATATTTCAATGTCTCCTTTCAGAGTTTTTCTAGTCAAATTTTAGCTGCAGCTGGGCACTCACATCAAGTATTTGCTAGGTCGTTAGATATACATATATATTTTTAAGTGGTTGCATCTGGGAAAGGTATTAATATTTATTGCAGCATTAGAATAAAAATGACTTGGGGGGAGCAGAGAGAAGGATTAGCACTAAATGAAGCTGATTTAGGGGTAACAGGAGAATTGCAGAAGGGCTGTGTTAATTTTTTTAGCCAGTTTTTGGCATGGACTTATACATACATCAAAAAATAAAAATAATTTTTAAAAAGTTAAACAACTGCTGATTTTCATGCTTCTCAGCTGACCTTTGTTCCTTCCAAAGGACAGCACCAGCTACAGGTTTAGCAGACTGCAGCCAAGCAGAGAGAGTGTGGCATGGTTACCCATAGATCAACACTGAAGGGCAATGAGGGAAAACTGGAACACTTTGAATAACTACCACAAAGAACCTCTGGCATCTCTATAGAAAGCCTGATTAACTTCACTGTAGATGTAAAATTAAGACATGCTACGGACATTCACTTCAATATGGTCAAGCCTTCCATCTACAGACTGATGCACTTCCAGAGGTCTCCAAACACCACCTTAAAAACAGTCCCTCTTCTAGGATTTCAAGGGAGCTCTTTCAAAAGTTTCTGCTCATCCTATTGGGAGTTACCACCGTGCTGGTATCACTTAAATGCCCCTTTTTCACTGTAGTGCAGAGACAGCTGTGTTATCTCAGGCCAGCCTGCCCGGCTGCAATGGATAGCGGGGTGGAGTGCTCAGACATCCCATAATGCTCAGAGTGGAGGGACCAATTCCCCTGCAGGTAGCTGCCAATGGACAGGAGAAAGGGTGAGGACAGAGCAGGTGAGGTCTTGTATCTATCAGGCTGTTCCCTGTGATGCTGGCCCATACTGGCACTTCGTGTCTGTACACCCATGTTATAAGGCTCAGAAACAGAGGCGATTTAGGATGTGTAATCTGCCCCAGGGAACTGCTTTAGCAAGGAGGTTGGTTGATGACCTCCAAAGAGCCTTTCCAACCACCATGATTCTGTGATTCTACGTAGCTGGAACTCCACCTCTGAGGATGTTGTTCATCCTCCATCTGAGCTGACTGAGAAGAACCTTAATCAAATCCTGTTGGAGTCAGAATAACGTTCCTCATGACTTGAACAGGACGAGGCAGAGGCCCTAAAGAGCACTCCCATGTGCAAGAGAAATTGTAGGTTTCTTTAAAAAAAAAAAATAAAAAAAAATCCATTACTGTTTTTGAAAACCCTGCCACAGGACCTGGGACTGATTAGTCTCCCCACATGGAGACACAGCACTAGATAATGTGCCTTGTGCTTTTGCAGCACCATTCTGTGGGACTTCAGCTTCAATTAACTCAGCCTCACCAAAGCCCTGTGCAGCACGTGGTGTCACAAACCACCATACAGAGAGGAAGTCGGGACCTGGGAACTGGAGGGGAATTGCTCATCACAGGCCTGCGGCTGGGACGCAGTCTCTTGATTCCTGCTTTTACATTTTAACTAAGCTTCCTATCCACCTTGTGTGCTTTTGTAAAGTACAGGAACAGAATCAAGAGAGACAACTTTGTTGTAATCTCCTGAGCAGCCTCTGGAGA